TCATAAACCTTAAAATGCTATATAAATTCAGTGTAATTCAAAAACATTTATTAAGCATCTGCTATATTTAAAGCTCTGAGCTAGATTGGGAAACGGTCTTTTACCTATCTTTTACCTTTTCTGAGTGCCTAGCACAGCGCTTGGCACGCAATAATCAATAAATATTTATCAACTGACTACGAAGATATGTGATAATAAAGCCCTTCTCCTCAAAAAACTTATCCAAGGGTGGGGAACCTGCAGCCTTGAGGCCACACGTGGCCTCCTAGGTCCTTGGGTGCAGCCTTTTGACTGAGTACAAGTTTCACAGAACAAATCCTTTTATTAAGGGGATTTGTTCTGTGAAGTTTGGATTCAGTCAAAGGGCCACACTTGAGGACCCAAGAGGACCACATGTGCCTTAAGGCTGCAGGTTCCCTACCCCTGCATCTATTGTGGGGAAGAGGAGAATAAATCTGGTAGGCTTCTTGTGAGCTGTTGTTACTCTTCCTCTTGTATGTTAAGCGTGAGCCCCCAACCCATAACCTATCATGACACTCGTAAGTGTAGCAATGATAATGAGCTCCCGCTTGTAACAGGTCATCATGACCTTGCCTATATAAATGAGTTGCCATCTATAATGTGTCTACATGTGTAGAAGTGATGCTTGTATGTGATAACAACCAATGGTGCTGGGTAAAATGATTGTCTATGGCCTCACTTGAGGAGTTGGATGGAGAGCTGTGTATTTGGTGTTAGGACAATTCTCAGCTAGTTTCTTAGCAGCTGTAGCATGATTCCTTCTACTCCATCCCCATAAAAGGTTTTTCCTCCATGGTTTACTTTTTCCAGCTAGTTTAAGATCATATCAAATATAGTCTTCTCTCTCCAAAGAAGAATTCAGAACCAAATCCACGTTAGCTCACACCGATAAGGAATTGCTTCTCTTATCTCCCTAAAAGGTAAACTTTGCCTAGTTTCTCCATGCTAGAAAATAAACTCATTTGCCTCGGTGGTTTTTGGTGACTACCTTTTTTTTTTGTGAAAAGAATTAAAGAACATCAAAATGCATAGGAATATAATTAGTCACTCTTGGTTAGCAGCCCAGGAAGGGCAAGCCACACTTGCTTCTCTTCCTCTTCCTGAGGGGCCTGTGGTGGAGGGGGTGGTGTGTTTGGGGGAGAGAGCAGACAGTGAGAGTTCAGAATGTTAATAGGGGGCTGCTCTCCCACCAGGGATGGAACAGTGGAAGAGAAAAGCGTCAGAGATCGAGTGTGTACATGACTCACTAGCCCCTGTTCAATTGCTTCACTGAGTACCAACAGCAACTTTGTGATCTCCAATACTCATGGTGCTACAACCCATTAAGACTCTTAAAAAATACAGGCGCTACAGAGGACATAAGGATAGGACAAATCATACCTCTCTGACCTCCCAGGCCCCAGAAGTGATTTCTCCTCTCCCTCTTTGCCTCTTGAGCTCCTACCCAGTTCAGATGCCTCCAACAAAATGAAATCTCCCCACTTCTTTCTGTCTGAGGAGCAAAACGAGACCCAGATATCTGGGCTCTCTGAAGTCTGGGTAAGAAATCTCGTCAGTTGCAATAGGTATTTCTGTGGCCCTTAGTCCATCACTAACTGTCAAGCTGGATGAGGCTCCCTTATTTACAGAAATGTTTTATATTGAGAAAAACAATGCCCTCAATCCATGTTTAAATATATAGTCTATTATAAAAGTTGGTATTTATAGAGCCTAAATCAGAGCTTAAGGTTAGTGAATGCTCCCTTACCCTTAAATATCTAGTAGAATTATCCTCAACCAGAGAAAGATGACAGGATAGGAGGAAGAGTGTCATTAAATGACCATTCCATTCAGTAAGTGTAATTTAGAAGTCATAGAGATAAATGGACAATTAAAACACCAGACAAAGAAGGAGAAAGGAGTAAGGAGAAAGCTATATATTTCTAGAACTTATGAGTATTCATGGGGAAAAGGAAAAGAAAAACAGGTTGAGAATATGACGAGAAAGAAGCTGCTTAACTTTGTGACACCAGATTTTAAAAAAAGAAACAATAATTTAAGATACAAAGATTATACCACAAAATATAATCTTTGTCCATATTATTAAAACCCACAAAATGTTTATGTATCTATGACAGTGTTTCCAAAGTCAAATTACACTATCTACTCTGTGCAGACAGAATAAATAAGGATTTTTGGCAAGTGGCCCATAACCTTTCACCTTTTCTAGTTGAATGTACAAATGTACAAACAGAATGTACAAAGTTTCATTGTTATTTTTTTCATCAGTGAACTAGGTCTGACATATGAATCAAGTCCTCACTCCTATTCCTTTTGCTACAATATTTTTGTAAAGTTAGAGAAATTTACTGTGTTAAATCAACTACTCCATAACATAAATAGAAACAAAGAAAAACCACACGCTTTTGTCAAACATATAGGCTGTTCTCTAGTTTAAAACAACAGCAATAACAATAGCCAGTACCTCTAGGTTTTTACTGAAATGATTGTGATTGAATCAATTACTTTAATAGCTTTGATCAGAAACCTCAATGCAATTTTAAACTCCCACTTTTTAATCAACAAGAGTTTGTAATTATAAAACCACTCTAACTATGGAGTCAGAGGGGATATTTTTGCAAGAGTTAAGGACCACAGAGCCAGGTCTATACATAATTGTTTTAAGCAGGCACCATCAATTTGTACCTGAGTCATTCATCCATTTTTGTCTTATTTTTAAACTGATGCATGAAAGCTAAAGAATGTAACCTTTATAATGGGACATGCCGCTGTGGTTTTAGTTTTGGTATATTCCCAAGAAGTCCTAGGGGATTAAATGGTAAGTTATTATTATGCAGAGGTTCACAATTAGATGTTGTGCCTGACTCTGCAAAAGACTGAATTCAAAATAGATCTAAAGTTTCATAGATTTAACTTTAGAACTTTTTCTCAATATAAGGATTTCATGATACCTTTCTGATTTTATTTCATATTTCATTTGAGTATTATTCCTTCATAAAACTCTAATATTTAGATTCTAGTGATCTCTACATTTACAGGAGCCAACTTTTATCTAAACTTTGCATCTCCTACAGTCTTAAGAATAGGGTTCTACAAACAGACTAAGCAATTAAATGTTCATTGAATGAATGAATGATTTTAAATGGGTTAAACTAAGACTAATAAAAGACTTTAATTGGATAAAATAAGAAAGATTAGGGGAAACTTTCCTCTTGTTTTTGAGTAATGCTTAATGTTCTCATTGGGCCCTTTCAGGTTCTGTGATTCCGATATATTGGGATGATGGGACATAAGGGGGTTGGGTGACTGGTCAACGTGCATATGCAACTGGGGAAGAAGCAATGGTCCAAGACAACTCACTAATTTCCCTTTAAAGAGACTGTGATGATCACTGATACTACCTCTCTGTGGAGAGAGAACCAGCTAGCTTTGTTCCGGTAGTAAAGGAGTAGAGATAGAAAAAGATGAACATCAAAATATAAGGGAGAGATACAGGACAACTACTGAGATGCCTGAAGCATTCTGTTTCCTGTTTGCTCGTGTAGCTATAAGCAGGAAAGGTAAATCAAATTTCTTTTTTTGTTTGTTTGTGTTTTGTTTTTTGCCAGGCAGTGGGATTAAGTGATTTGCCCAGGGTCACACAACTAGTAAGTGTCAAGTGTCTGAGGTCAGATTTGAACTCAGATCCTCCTGACTCCAGGGCCAGTACTCTATCCACTGCACCACCTAACTGACCCTAAACCAAGTTTCTACAGTGCTGAGTTAATCACACATCCTGTTTCAGTTTTATTGGGATTGTGGATAATTGTGAATAGATATTGATCCCTACTGGCCTGTGACCAAGGGCTCTGACTGCTCATTCAAGACATAGGGAATAGACATAGTTTTGATGGCATAAATAGCAATCCATAAAGGGTTTCTGATTTAGGGAGAGTCTAGGTCGAGGATTCAAATGGAATGTATTATTGATATCAATGCTACATGTTTCCGCTTTTTATAAAGATAATTAGGCTCATTGCCAAGGACACACATGTTAATTGATCATTATAAGTGAATCCAGACTCCTAGATTTAGACAATCATAAGATCAGAGATGTAGATCTCAAAGGGATATCAAAGGTCATATAGTCCAATCCAATTATTTTTAGAGATGAAAAGGCATTTTGAAAACTGAGGCCCAGGAAGGTTAAACCTCTTTTACACAGGTCACATGGACAACAAATAGCAAAAATGGGATTTGAATTCAGGTTGAAATATTAATCTGGGCACTTATTCACTCAGGAACTGAGTTAAAGGGTGATTGACAGAGAGAAATAGGCAGATTGGCAGTGACATCATCCCCCCCCCACCCCGTGTTGGCTAGTCTACATTACACTATGTTGGAAATAACAGAAGGTAATTGCCTAGGATATGTTTATGTGTATGTATAATGCATGCATATATGTGTGTGTATATATGTATTCACATGTATGTATAATTTGTGTATAGATATCTTTATGAATGTATGCATATTAGATATTTAAATAATTATGATCACATAATATATACTCATATACATATGATTAAACATTGCTTTTCTCCTAATACGTTAACCGTTATCTGAATTAACCATTAAGATTTCAAAAAGGAGAAGCAAATTGGATCAGATCAGAAAAAATTACTTATGGATGTAGTATATTTAAGACACTAAATTCTACATAGTTAGGCAATGCTATCAAGGTCACTTTTTAAATCTTAGAGCAGAAGCAAAGAGATGAATTAAGTTGAATTGATACTTCTAAGTAAAGTCTTTCCATTAGTGAATATTCTTGGACCATGGGATTTTGTAGTAGAGGCAGTATTGAATAAGCAGTTCTAGGCATTACTCACTTGAACTCCTGTGACACCAGTACCTCAAAGAGAAGTTTCCTTCAGTCACTTTACTAAGTATTTAGGAGTATCTTGCACATTCATGAACAATGAAGCAAATTGAAGGATTACCTGGGAATCTTCTAATGATTTGGCATAATCCTTCCTTGCTGCAAAGCTGATACTGTATTTCTGGGAGTATATTTACCTGAAAGTAATAAAAGACCAGTGACTTTATAGTAGGTTTCTGAAGCCAAAGTGAAAGCATTTCTTGGAGCCCTGGATGAATGCATATGAAAAATGAGCATTTTCTTCCCATCCTCCCACCTACTGATCACCAGTACATACATCAGAACATTTAGTTAATATATTAAAACAGAAGAAAAAAAGTGATTGCTCACTGTGATCCAACCCTATCTGAAGCATTAGGTGCAGTCTAAAATAACCAACAAGCTAATCCTAAAACAAAAAAAACCCTAAAACCAAAAACCCAATCTCCTAAAAAACCAACACTAAGCATTTCAAAGTTGTAAATAAAAGGAAATACCTATAGTCCTATCTCAAATTCAGTAACGAGAATAACCCAGCACTTAGAAATTGTTTTGCAAAAAATAACAACAAACATGACTCATAGTCAAGAAAACCACAAGATTTCCCAAGTCTTCTCTCATTTGTCCTTATGCACTTACTTAGGTCACAATTTTTAAAGTCTAGTATTAAATCTGCAAACATACTGTGAAACTCTAAATAAGCACATAAATGCAATTATTCTTTCTGAATATGTAATCCAGTTTTCCTAAAGTTTCATAAGTACAAAATCAGAGTGCAGCTTTATATAAATTCAAATATTTACAGAGATGTGGCTTCAGTTTTGAAGTAAATGAGAAATTACATGATTGATAGAGTTCAGTCTCAACTTTAAAATGGTCATTGGTATCCACTAAGAAACTATTCTGAATTTATTATAAACTTACTACCAAAAACAAGTGAAACATAAAGCTCATGAATTCAGAATGATGAAGAAAGTCTGAATTAGCAAAAGGAAGAAATTTGAATTATATATTTTAAAATAAATATTGCTTTCAAGTACAAGCAGCAATTTTAAATTGGTCTAATAATATATACATATTATGTAAGAGGGTATTTTAATAACTAAGATCATTTGTAATTAGCAGACTTGAGTTCAGATCTTGCCTCGGATACTTATTAGCCCTAGGCAAGTCACTTAATCCTGTTTGCCTCGGTTCCTCAATGGTAAAATAAGCTGGAGAAGGACATGGTAAGCCACTCCAGTATCTTTGCCAAGAAAACCTCAAATAAGGTCACAAAGAGTCAAATATGACTTAAATGACTGAACAAAAATAACAACTGTACGTATAAGTATACATGCAAAAAATAGTTTCAATGCTTTCTTTTAAATTGATTGAACATTTCCTCTGTAGTCTTAGTATGTCATTCATTTGCTCGGCATTTTTTCCCTTTAAATTGCTTCAGTCAACATAAGGCAGAGCAGGTTATATTTAGATAAACAAATCTAATTTAATGACACTTTAGAGTTAATCTCAAACCCAAAGTGAGCATAAACAACTTTTTCATCTAGCCTTCGCAGGAGCTTAGAGACAAGTTTGGTTCTCAGGTCCTAAAATCAAAGGGGTGGGAGCAGGTAGGTGGTGTAGTGGATAGAGCTCTGGCCTTGGAGTCAGGAGAACCTGAGTTCAAGTCTGGTCTCACACACACAATACATGACACTTACTAGCTGTGTGACCCTGGGCAAGTCACTTAACCCTGATTGCCTAGCAAAAAGCAAAAAAAAAAAAAGAGAGAGTGAGAGAGAGAGAGTCTGTCTTCAGGGTAGTACCTTAAACTGGATACCTGTACCAATCTCTGAGTAAACACTAGACTCACTGAAATATTCGAGGTTGGCCCTCCAAGAAATTCCAAGTTTGTTTCCCTTCCAAAGTAAGTCCAAATCACAGGCTGGTGTTATGAGTTTGGAGGACTGAATAGGCTTTAGTGGAAAGGTAGGGACTCACTGGAAAGGGAAATCATATCAACTCTTTCATGCTATTATGAACCCTTTGTATTGTTTTTGCATTTTTCATGGGTGGAGTAAAGACTATATATGAACTATCATCTTGAATGATAAAACATGATGAAAAACATGCAAGGGTCCATTTTCCCATTGAACCTGTCCTGTCCAAGTAACTCACAGAAAGAAAAGGGGGCAAAGTTGTGATTTTTTGCTCCCTCTCTCAAATCACTGCTTTGATTGTTTGCTATTAAAGGATGAGGAATAGGAGTGGGAAAGAGGGCAGAGCACATTCACAATGTTCTCCCTCTCTTCAACAGACACAGCCGTCATGTCTTAGATGCCTATGTAAAATTGGGTCCAGAAACTTAGGAATCTCTCGGGCCACATGAATGAGATTACATGCAATATCCAAGTGTCTCTGCTCCAAAGCAGCCATTATTAGCTCCCAGAGAGGAAAACCCCCTAGGGACCCAGGTCTCCTCTTAGCTCTACTACTGTCTCTTCCCTTCTCTGAAAAGGGAAAAAGAGCAAAAAGGACCCAGTAGTTAATTCAGTTCCCTTTTTTAAGGTCCTGCATGAAAGCATGGCACTGAGCCAATCAAGTTATCCTCAAATGCTTGACAACAGCTTCCACCTGCTATCCAGATTGAGGAGTCCCTGTTTAGGATTGTCGTTTCTTAAGGGGAACTTAACCAGGATACTCATTTCACTCCCATTTGAACTAACTCTGTAGGCTACTCTGCTTCCCTACCAACTTCCTTGTCCGCTACCCTCCCTCTCACCACCACCACTCTCCAGCTTCCCTTTATGCTTTGTCTTTAGAGCAGGGATTATATTGCTGTTGGCTTTTATTGTTGTTGTATTCCCAGCACTTAGCACAGTGCCTGGCACATAGCAAGTACTTAACAAATGCTCTATCATCTGTCAAATTATCAATTGATAGAATATTTCTTTGATAGAATCAAAATTGCAAATAGTTTCATCAGCTTGTAATCTCATCCCATTATTGTTCAGGGAACTCTCCTAATCAGATCTCTACATTTAAATATATGGGGGAACATTACACACTTCATTACAGTTCCCAATCTTTAGCAAAAGATGAAATATTTGTCCCTGACACTTCCAGTTCATTAGAAGAGCAGCCTCCACCTTGATTCCCTGGAAAGATTTCAAAACAGATGCATCTGAATGCTATTTTCTCAGGCAATCACAGTTTTGTTTTTTTTTTTTTTAGTCCTACAGTAACTCTAGCTCAACCTGAATCTTCTCTGTGATGCTTCTGTTAGATCACAAATATGATTATTCTTACTTCTTCATGTACTTTAGAAGTTGGGAAACCTTTCTATCTTTCATATCAAAATCCAAAACATCTCTAAAAACAATTGTCAAAAAAATTGTCCTAGAAATATGCTGCAGTGACTTAAAATCACAACTATTTAAAAGGTTCTTTGTTCCCAAAGTAGCCAGTAACTCCATTTCTCTCCCTTAGTATTATGCTAGGGGATATTAATAGATGAAAAAAAATAGTCCCTGCTTTGAAGAAATTTACATTCTTTAAAAAAAACAACAACCATATTTCCACATCAGTCATGAAAGAACAATCAGAACAAAAGGGAAAAACCACTAGAAAGAAAAAAAAAGAAGGAAAATAGTATGTTTTGATCTGCATTCAGACTCCATAGTTCTTTCTTTGGATGTGGATAGCATTTTCCATCTTGAATCTTATGGAATTGTCTTAGATTATTGTATTGCTGAGAAGAGCTAAGTCTATCAAAGTTGATCATCACACAATTTTGCTGTTACTGTGTATAATGTTCTGATTCTGCTCACTTCACTCAGCATCAGTTCATATAAGTCTGTTCAGGTTTTTCTGAAATCTGCCTACTCACCATTTCTTATAGCACAATAGGATTCCATTACATTCACACACCACAACTTGTTCAGTCATTCCACAGTTGATGGGCATCCCTTTAATTCCCAATTCTTTGCCACCACAAAAAAGAGCTGTCATAAATATTTTGTATATATGAGTCCGTTGCCCTTTTTCGTTACCTCTTTGGGATACAGACCTTGTAGAGCTATTGCTGCATCAAAGGTTATGCACAGTTTTATAGCCCTTTCTTTGGGTATAGAGGAACTTGCATTCTATTAGGAAGAAACACTATGGTCCCTGACAAATAGGTAATGTATACTAAGTAAATAAAAAGTAATTGGGAGTGGGAAGATGGGAAGGAGGATACCATTGAAGGATGAGAAAAGACCTCATGTAGGCAGTGGTGCTGCAGGTGAAGAGCTTAAGAGCCAAAGATGAGAAAGGAGAGCATTCCACCCAAGGGGACACTCTATGAAAAAATCACAAAGCCTGGAAATGGAACGTCATTTTCGGGAGACAGCAAGTAGTTTAGTCTGGTAGTGGCATCAAATTCAAATAGAAATGGGGGCCACTAATCTGAACATAAGGATCTTTGGGTTGCATATTAACTTAGTTTTAAAATGTAATAGTACTTACATTTTATTGTATTTTTTATTTAATTTGGTAAATAGTTCCCAATTGCATTTTAATCTGGTTCTGGCTACACTTTGGAGTGTTTGAAGTCTCTAATAAAAAGCATGTGAAGGGAAGTAATTAGCATAGGGAGGCAAGTAGGGGCCAGATTGTGAAAGGCTTTAAATACCTCACTGAGGAGTTGGCATTTTATTACCTAGGCTATAGAGAATCCCCCTTCTTGAGAAGGGGGAGTGACATTGTCAAACCTGTGCTTGAAAAATATAAGTGTGGCAGGTCCTGTGTGAAGACGGCAGAAAGAGGGCATGATTGAAGGCAAGGAAACCATTTAGAGAGCTATTACAGTAGTCCAGGCAAAAGGTGATAAAATCCTAAATTGGGGTGGTGGCCGTGTAAGTGTGGAGAAAGGGATAGACAGAAGTTGTGGACATAGAAGAGATAAGACTTGGCAACTGATAATGGGCTCAAATATCATTCCAACTGGCACAATTTCCAAACTAAATTTAATCAATCCACAGGGAAAGCTGAGTCATAAACCCCAAACACACTTACTCTCCTGAAACTGAGAAAAGATTAAAGAGCTTACATAAGTGTGACATACTTAAGCTCCTAGTGGCAGTTACATTTCATGGATTTAAAATTAAAGGAAAGAAACAAAGAAAGAAGGAAC